TGTATACTTGCCACATGGTGGTGCTGCGAGGTCGGAAGACCAGCAGTCATAAGATTAAATCCACATGATGGAGTGAGCTCCCGTTGCTTGTCCCAGCTCCTGCCAACCTAGCAGTTTGAAAGCATGCAAATGCGAGTAGATAAATAGATACCACCATGGTGGGAAGGCAGCGGAGTTCCGTGTGTAGTCGCGCTGGCCACGTGACCACGGAAATTGTCTACGGACAAATGCTGGGTCTGTGGCTTGGAAATGGGGATGAGCACCACCCCCTAGAGTCAGACATGACTGGACATTTGTTTCCTTTTACCCATACTCGTTAGTATGCATGTGCAGCCCCAAAAATTTCAGTGGCAGCTTGGTAGTTGCCAGGTAGAAGTGAATGAATGTTATGCTTATTACCTTTCACCTGTGTTACAAAGCAACAGAATTTCAGCCATGGATTCTTATGGTTGGGACAGAACTCTAAGTAATAACATAAAAGGAGAAATTTCAAGGGAAGCTTTAGAATGAACTGTGAGCTGTGGGATCTGAAGTGAAACTGACTTCCAAATACAGTTAAATTTATTGAGAGCTTAAATAGGTCATGTGATATCCTAATATTAGTAAAAATTGACTACATTCAGGGAATGACTTGATATTTCAAATGTAAAAGATATGAACTAGAATTGTTAGTTTCTAGCATCAGACTGTTCTGACAGTTTCTGTTACAGTAAGAGCTATTTAATACCCATGTCATACATAGATAATTTAAGGAAGGAAGCCAATCTGTCTCTCCCATCTGCATTCTTAGATGTGCTTGACATTAATTTGCCATGATAGTGCATTTCTCTTTTTTTTTAAAGTCATTTTCAATTTTAAAACTGATGTCTGGCAAAGTTATGTTAGTTTTATTTAGAAATTAGCTTTATGTTTCTGCTTCATTTTTGTATTAACATTTGCAAGTTTGATGGGGGGATATTATTGTTGAAAAGATAATCGAGTCCCAAGAGGGGACTCTAATTTTCTACTGTAATTTGTCCCGTCCCAAGTCGGGCCGCTGAACACAGTTCAGATGCAGTTGTGGACCAGAACTGTAAACTACAGTGGTGTCTTGACTTACAAACTTAATCCGTTCCAGAAGATGTTCGTAAGTTGAATAGTTCATAAGTCAAATCAGCATTTCCCATAGGAATGCATGGAAAACTGATTAATTTTTTCCAGCTGGTTTTTGTTCGTATGTAGAGGTGCTGTTTGTAAGTCAAAGCATTAGTTCCCATAGGAACTAATGCAAAACAGGTTAATCCGTCCTCTACCACTAGGGGGAGATTTTTTAAAAATCCTAAAATGACGTAGGTTAAAAAAAGGGCAGGGAAGGAGGGAATGAACACTTTTTAAAGAGAGCAACTTTAAAACCAAGCAGCTTTAAACCAAACCAAGCACCTTTTAAATCAATTTTTACATTTTAAAATGGCAGTACCAGGCGGTCCAAAGTCCATTTCCTACTTTTCCCACGGTTTTTTTGTTCGTATGTCAAAGCTCTGTTCGCAAGTCAAAGCAAAATTTTGTGAACGGAGTGGTTTGTAAATCGAAATGTTCATACGTTGGGGCGTTCGTAAGTCAAGGCACCACTATGTATATATTTCATACAGCTTGGTATCAGCAGGGATTACTGTGCAGGATGTTAATGGAAAAATATTAAAAATCATGAATGCATTTTTTTACAACATTGAATGTAAAGCTAAGTTTCATGTACATACAGAATGGGAATCTAGTATTCTATTTTTTTTGTCCACCTCTGGACAAAATGTAACTCTCACAACTTAAGCATATCAGAATACTTTTATGGAAAGATACTTAATATATTTGATGTTAGGTTTCCCTCACTTTACATTTTCTTGAAATATTTTGTTTATAGTAAAGCCAAAAGCATTTCTTCCCATAAATCTTTATATTAAATGAAAACCTTAGGTATTGAAAGGATAATGTTGATATAGCTTAGAAAAATCTATGAAAAGACCAAGATAAGAGAAGATAGCTAGGCAGAGAACTCTCTGAAGTTTTAAAAAACTTTGCTTTGGAAGAATTTTCTTGTTTCTGCTTGAGTTATAGTTAGTGTCTAGGATTAGACAAACAGTAGAGGAATTTTTAAGGCAATGTTGTTTTCTACTGCCTGTATTACAAATTATATAGAATCCCTATATAAGTAAATATTATGAGTGTTGATTTGAAGTTCTTGTAATTGTTGACTTAGTGCCAAACTGAAATATGCTGAGTTCACCTTGTACAACTATTACTGCATAATATTTTTAATATATCTATTTCCAAATTTGTTTCTCAGAAAGACAAGCAGGGAAAGAATATCAGTAACCGGGGTAGATTGCATTGTCTCACAAAGAGCAGGCAAGATGTTGAAATATAAAATACAGTATGCAGTGTGGATGGTATGCTGAATTGAACCAGGGATGCTGAAGTATAGGCACCCCCTGAGCCAGAGTCAGCTGGAATAATCACTAGATCAAGATTAAATTCTCTCAGCAGTTTGCATTTTAATCTGCCTCAAACTCAGAAATCAATAAGTAATTCTGACTGTAATGATATTGCATAAACATTTTTTAAAAATATAAAGCAGATTTTACAATCAGCAATTCTTTGTCTTACACTTCCATTTTTAAAAATGCTTGTATATTTAATGTTTTAATCGCTATACCCAGCAGTACACTGAAGTTTTTGTTCAGTAGCTGGGTGGATGGAGTTGCCCAGTTTTGGCAGCTGAGCCTGTGTTTTAGCTAACAGCAAATCTTGATTGACAGTTAAGCAAATTGGATAAGTTGTGTTTACTTAGCATGAAGAAGAAACTTCCAGTAATATTTTCTGATCTTCGTGTGTTTGCTTTTCAGAATTGTATTTTAGCATTGATTTGGATTGCTGGTAATAAACCAGAAGCTGGGGTATGAAGATAAAATTTAGAAATGGATTCCTTTCTTCAGCCCGTCCCCTTTCCTTCCTGAAGCCACTTGTTGATTTATTCTTGTTTTAAGACCAGACAGAATGTTTTACAAATCTTTCTTTCCTTTTACCATATTATGTTCGTTGTAGGAAGACTCAGCAGGAATCATGACAAAAAGAATCTCATTTCCAGTGCTTGTTTTCTTTTTCTTTTTCTAAATAATTATTCTGTTCCCAGCATTGCTTTATTCTCTCCATCAGAGTTAAGCCCAGTCTCTCATACAAATTACTGGCCCTTTATGTGTTTCCCTAAATTAGGAGAAAGAATCCTTTTTCCGCAGAAGGGGAGGGGGAGGCATTGAAGTAGACATGCTGGCCCCAGTGATTTTATGGCTGTTAATATCCACTTTAAAGGATGGACACTGTTGAGAGTGTGTTCATAACAATTTATCAAAAATAGTTGAACTAGTGGCAAAATCCTTTCCATGCAAATGTTCTGCCCCCACCCTCCCCTCATGTTTGGAACGAGAGACATGTATTAAGCAACTTAATGTTCTAATAGATGAATTTGCATCTTAACAGATTCTCTGAAGGGCAAGGAAACCCTGAGAGCCAAATTTCCGGAGGTACAGAGGCCTGTGGAGACAGGGGAAAATCTTGTAAAATATTGGGAAATGAGGGATTATGGTTTCAGTTGCTCTTCTAGAAAATCAGGCTTTCTTGTTTCTGCCTAGGACAAAGGTATCAAGGAGAAAGCGGGGAAATGCTCAATGACTGGAAGTCAGCAAATACCTATGTTTTATATATGTGAGAAAGGAAACTTCAATGCTGGACTGAGCTCACTCCTCGATACTGCAGTAATTAGCAGTATTAATTGGGGAAACTCGGCACTTGATTGGCAAATTTTTGGACGAACTTGGAAACTAGAATTTTGGGTATAAAAACGGGGACAGAAGTTACTTAGTTTTGCCTAGTTATCTCTTAGGCGAATGCAGTGTTCACCTGCTGCTCGCTATATGACTTGCATTCCATATTTGCTCTGCAACTGTGCTGAAGATATGCCAGGATACAAGTAATAGCATAAGTTACCTAGCTTTCATATTTTCTTTTTGAATTACTTATATTGATTATTTACACCAACATAAATACAGTGAGATAAATTGTGGCAGCCAATTGCTACTAGTTAATAAGTAGCCACTTGTATTTCTTATTGTGCGCCAGGTCACACAACTAGTTCACGATTTGGAATATGTTAACTCATATACAGTATAGTTAACTCATTGACTCTTGTGCACTAGCATAAATAATGAGTACAATTTGGGCTACCAACTTCAATTAACTCACAATTCATTGAAAATATTTCAGAAGTGTAAATAACAAAAACATATACCACTAGGTAAGTTAATAGTATACAATACACTATTTTTTTACTTGTGCAATGCAGTTCACATTTAGACATCTTAGAAAAGATGCTTTGTTCACGTTAAACATGCAGCAAAAGAAGGAAGATAAACAACAATAAATACAGTGTGCTTGAAACCCTGATATTTAAGCACTGCTTTGAATCGACTGTGTTGCTAACTGCCTGTATATCTGTCAAAATGACTTAGCAAACTCTGCATGGTAAGATCATAACCATTAGATTAATTTGAGATATTAGTTCTGTGATGGTGTACCACATTAATGGATATGTGAGTTCAGTCACATACACAGCCTCCAATGTTTCATTATAATGGCATTTATTCGTTCTCATAAGGACTGCTGAGAAAGTTGAAATATAATCTCATATTTTAGATGTTCCTTTTAAAAAAGATAATGAAATGATTTTCTTCCTAGTGTCAATGTTATTACAGCTTGGAGAACCGCTTCTAGAATAACAGATGAACATATTGACTAAAATCCTTTCTCATAATGTGATGTATCGTGATCAATGGAAGTTTGCTGAAAGATTGTCGTTCTTCCTATGTGCCATGAACCAAAGTTTAAAAGTTAGGGGATCTATCATACGCAGAGTGTTGTAAATAAAATCACATTATATAATCTAAATTTCTGGCCCTTGTTTTCTTTCTTTACAGACCATGGAAAAAGTGTTTGTTGAGTTCAGTCATGAAGAACTGTTTGAGTTCTATAACAAGGTCTGTATGGGTGTTTTTACTGACTTTCTAACATTTCAGTAACCTTTCCTTTGCCCTTAATAAGTCTTTATTACCAATCCTTTGTTTTCTAGTTGTTCTTGCTCTGAGCTTTCCTTGTAAACAGATAATAGCTTCATCCCCCCAAAGCACTGCCTCTTTGAGTTATGTCTCCTATAAAGTAGTAACTGAATACAGGTTTTACATTTCCTGTTTAGAGTGACTTTGAACAAGGTGATGTGTCCTATGCCTTGCTCTTAAATCTCCATGGTAACAAAAGGCCAGGAAAACATCTCTTATTTGTGTTTATATACATGTTAAATTCAACTGTCAAAATAAACATTTATATAAATTGTAAATTTATAGCCAAGTAACTATGGGCAGATGAAGTCAGCAGACAGTTATTGCTCTAAAATTTGACATAAGAATTCCATGCAAAATGCATGCATAATTTGTGATTGTAAGACTTCCTCACTGCTATATGACTTTATATGAGCTCTCCATATTTGTTGGTTGTCCTCTAGTTCATGTTTCTAAATATCTTGCATTGACATTTTTTATTTAAATAGTTGGAGTCAATACAAGCACAGCTGGATTCTCTTACATGATACTGAGTGAAGACTATTTTCACCATCACATTCCTGCTACTTCAATTTGGAAGACAGATTGGCTGACAGTGTTTGCTGAAATATCCAGTGGGTTACTGCCAGTAAATTACTTCTCTCTTCTTTGACCACTGACATTAACCAAATGAAATCCTTGTTAAAATGTCTGACTTCTTTATGTTTCCAGAGTATACAGCATACGTTTAATGTGGCAGGGATTGGGAGGGATTCACCATATTGTTTTGAAGTTCTTTTAATTGTTTTGAAATGTGTTTGTCCTTTTTCATTGTGGGCTTTGTTTTTTTTTAATAGCAGGCAGCAGTTTACATGATACTAGAGAACCATGAATGAAATGCATACTGTTTAAAAAAGTGTGAAAACTGTATTACTTACTTCACACAGAAAAAGAAAACTGAGGAGACAAAAGTAAATGCATTTCTAAATAAATAAAGATGCTTTGTTCTGGATTTCTTTTTTCTTTTTTTTCTCTCCCCCCCCCCAATTATTTCTTAATATCGTACATTCATTTCTTGGTTTTCCAAGTAGAAAGAACAGCAGTCTCCCCATTTTTGGATGCATTAATGGTTACAAAAGAGTTTTTGCAAGACAGCTTTGATTCATGGGAAAGGAGTAATGGGCAGTCAGATGCAGTAAATCCTAAGAAGTAGCTGCCTTTAGTCTGTCTTAGCATGTTGACAAAAGGAAAATTTAAAAAGACAAAACAAAGTAGCACTTTAACAGTTTTATTTCACTCTGAAAGTGATAAATCAGAAAGGGATGATGTTAACCTATAAAGAACTACTTAATAGAGAACAAAATATAAAAAATAAACAAGAACTAGAGGAATTAGGGGTGGCAACAGACTGGTGGTCATTGAATAAATTAGAATCAAGATATAAAAAAGATAGAAATTTGGGTTTCTTTGAAGGTGAAGTACAAGTAGATAAACTCTGGGTTTACTCTGACGAGAAAATAATAAAGAAAATGTATACATATTTACTGGAATATGAACTGGAGGATGAGAGGGTAAAGGAGACAATGATAAGATGGGCAAGGGACTTTGGCTATAATATCGACATTGATCATTGGACAATGATGTGGAAAGACTGTTACAAAATGATTAAGCCAGTAAATTTAAGAGAAAATATCCTCAAAGTGTTCTATAGATGGCATTATACTCCCATAAAACTGGCAAAAATGTCAGAAGGAAGCAGTAATATCTGTTGGAAATGTAAAAAAAAAAGTGGGAACTTATTATCATATGTGGTGGTCATGTGAAAAAGCCAGGGTCTATTGGTCACAGTTGTGGGAAATGATAAAAGGAATTATTCAAAGGAAATTAAATCTTAAACCTGAAATAGCATTATTGAATATTATGCCAGAAATTACCAACAAGAAAATTAAATATTGTTTGATGTATATATTGATAGCAGCTAGGATACTCTGGGCCCAAAAATGGAAAAGTGAAGATGTTCCTACAATGGAGGAGTTCCTGAAGAAGCTGTTGGACATTATAGAACT